AGAGCGATGTGACCACCGATAGCCGCCGACGAAATGCCTGCTATTTGGTAGAAAGCGATAGCCACTGCTGGAGCCGGCGTCAATGGCTGACAGCCTGCCCGGACCGAGCGAAGAAGAAAGCGCGACCACTCGAGTCTGCATCTGCCCAGCGGACTCCATCTGTCCTGCCGAGGACGATCTGGGCCAAGTCTGCCCGGCTGCGAGCGAAGTTGGTTATCTGTCCAGCAGCCGTCACTCAACACGTCATTCTATCGCCTACGGCGTCCCAGCAAGATCATGCAATCGCCATAACAATGTCAGTCATCCCTCTCAGAGGTTAGAGTCTGCATCCAGCGTTGGCTCAGCGCTGACAGGGTCGACACTGCCTCCGCCGCATAGATCGACAGCAGCGCCACTGGCTGGGCTGCCCTCGTGTGTACCAAGTTGCTCCAATACCCGCTTCTTGCAGAGTCATTGTCGGCCCTCGCGGTCACGACCTACTGGCCGGCCACTGGTGGCGTCGTGCCGGCGCCGTGCCGGACCGACGCCGGCGCGACCTTCCTGCCGCCTGTCGGCTCGTCCGCTCTGTCGCGGCGGTGCCGGGCTCCAACCCTCACACCCGGCCGCCCCTGACTTGGCGGGCGGGACGAGCCGCGCGGCCGGGACGCAGGGCCGGCGCGCGCCGCCCGGGGGACGGCTCTTCCGCGTCCCGGCCGTGCCGCTGACCCCACGGCCGCGCGCCGCGCGCCGCGCCCCGCCCGATCGCCGCCGGCCGCCGAGTACCGTTTTTTAGGACTGCTGGCTATGGGCTGAACATACCGCGCGCTGCGCGCCGCCGCCGCGCCGCCGAACGGCCAGTCGGAGGTGAGGCGAGCCACGACGCCGTGCTGCAAACCCGCTGCCCCAGCGACCCAGATGTGGCGGAGCCACAGCACTGCGTCGAGGCGGCTGCTGCGCCAGGCCAGCATCAGGTGGACGATGCCACCGAATGGCACCCAGATCACCTTCATGCTGATGGACATGCGGCTGCATGAGCCGCTGCGAGCCGTGAGCGCAGCTCTGTCGCAGTGGGGCAAACGGCGCGAGGCCGGTGGGCGTTCGCCGGACGGCCGGACCGGCCGCAGAGGAGCGGTGCCGCTTCTTCGCCGGCGAGCGCCGCTGCCAGGTGCCGCTCGCAGTGCCCGGCCGCGTGACGATGACACAGTGAAAGGCCACCAGATGGCCGGCAGCGACGCTCGCCCGGTAGAAGCGGGACGCGACCACAGGCAGGCCCCGCTAAATATCAAATACAATGTGAAGCGACTCAGCTCTCAGCGAGCGGTAAGCCGCGAGCGGGGTGAAGACGGCGCAGGTCACGCTTCGGCCGGAGAGGCGGCGGCGGTCGTGGATCCGAGCATCGGACGGCGCGTAGCGGCCGGCGCGCAGTCCCCGCGCCGCCGAGCGCCGCGCTCGCCCGGCGACCGAGCAGCCGGCGCTGCTGCTGATCCAGAGCTCGCCCGTTCGGACGACAGCCCGGCCGGCCGGTGAAACGCGGCGGGCGCGAGTGGCGCGGTCGTCGGGGCTGGCGCGGCCTGAGCGTGGGATCTGGCACGGCGGCGGCGGCGGCAGCGGCGCCGCCGCCGCCCGATCGCCCCGGCCGCATCCCGGCGGCGCGGCGGCCGGCGGCCACGCCAGATGGCGGCCGGCTGAGCACTTGTCGCCTCAATGAGCGACAGCCGGTAAAGGTGCGGGCGCCGTGGAGAGACGCGCTCGGCAGCCGGCGCACACCGAACGGGCTGCACAGCGCATGGCATACGCATAGCAGCGTCGCTGAGGTGGAAGCGCGCGCTAGGCAGCTGGGTACATAGTGGAAGAAATCACGGCTAAACAAAATGAGCCGACGGCACTATTAAGTCGGCGAAACAATTTATGGCGATTGGAAATGCATGCACCAACTCAACTGGACTTAATATGGTGAAAGTTTAACAAAACTAACACGAATCAGATTATGGTCAGAATATCGATGAACAAACTGACAAAACACCACGGGGACACGCCCGCAGCCTTGACCCGCATGTAAGCTGGCTGAGATGCGAAAGTAAAACGGCGACAGGGGGTGGCAAGCTTGCCCTGAAAGGAATCTTAATGCACGACCCTGACAACATGCACGGTGCGTCCACACAACAACGTGGATGGGAACCACTAAAAAGCTCCACGCATCAAAAAAGCGCAAGGCCAGCCATTATCATTACGAAGGCAGCGTTTGCCCGCAATGGCGGCCACAGCTCATCTGCGGGGCCCTTCTCTGAAGGCCATTGTCGCAAGCCGCCGGTTTTTAAAAGATACTTCGGCGCGTAATGGACCGCCGGCGTCACGCGTCTGGGGAAATCTGCGCAAATAACTTTAACCGACCGGCGACTAATATAGCGGCGTGTCTGATCGACGTGTACACGGCGGCAATAAAACTAAAAGGGTGTGCGGTCGTTTTGGACGAAAGAGAAACCATCAATTAAGCCATTTGTGAAAAGAGGAGGACGGCAGGAGCTAGGGTGTAATCAGGTCTCTGAGATTGTGGGACAAATCAGAACTGAAGAAGTCGGAGTAGTGTGGAGGGGAGGGGGTACACAGCCTGACCTGAAAATGGCATTTTGAATGGGAAAAACGTAAAAACCGTGCATTCCAAGGGCGTAATTGGAGGGGACAAAACGCCGTTTTTTTATAATTCAGGACAATGTCCCGGGCCCCATTTCCTACGGACCAGCCTTGCCCATGCGAACGATTTAGTTCCAGATTCACCATTTCGGTCTTCCACGCAAAACCCTCCGAGCAAGATAAAAATGCAACATGAACGGTGTGTAGAGTTTAAAGCCCACGATTCAATGCCATTCTCCCGTACAATGGGCGCTAAAACGCAACGACAGCGGAAGCGGAGGAGGGGAACGGACCCATGTTTGGAAAATCGACTTTAATCATACGAAGTTGTATGGGGGGAAAAGAGGCGTAAATATTGTCTCACCATTTCTTGACAGGATCTACGATCACTGCTAGTAGGCATCCGCCAAAACTGGAGAGGCGCCACCGACTGATAACTGATTCGAGGGGATGGGGAGAATGGGGGGGGGGGGATGGCGGGCGGGACGGAGCGTACTCTATGCCCATTCATTTCATGCTCCGCTGTGGGTGTAAAAATTGGGGTAAACGTCCCTGTCATCGTCCAAGTACAGCGAGGTGTGCATCCAGGGCCGACGCTCTCCCAAAATGATCGGGGACAGTTCGGCATTCGGTCTGCGCTTTCTGAACTTTCTGACGCATTCTTAGCATGCGTCGCCTACGGCCTCCTGCTACTGCACTCATCACAGGGACAGCCACGCTACGGCACATCTAAACAAGCAAGAACTCCGGCGTGGGGAACCCACCGAGCCACGCACTTAGCAGAAGTGACCCAAAAGGTGTTACACGCGTCCATGAATATCTTGTCCTAGTACAAAACATTTTAATGGCAGCGCATCCACGCTCGAGACGATTTGTTGGAAAAGGTTGTCATCCGATCGAATACCATGTCGATGACCAGGGGGTGGCCAGAAATCGCCGCTTGGGGACTGACCACCCATCTGATGACCCAAGTACCAACTCTGGGGGAGACTTATGGTTTTGAGGCCAAAGCGTTGAAGCCATTGGCTGTGTGGATGTCGCCAGCGGGGAGTGGCTTCGGAGCAGGCAATGCTTCCCACCATTGGCGACCCACGTGATAAAGCAACGCCTCCCCATTTTGAGATGCCGCCATCATAGCAAAAAACTGAAAGTTTTTCACTCCATTGGCAATCAGATAAAAATGGACATGTTCTCAGCGCCCGTCCAATAACTACGCAGCGCGATATTGAAGGGAAAACGCTCTACACCCTCAGTCGTGGAGGTGGCTGGGGCGAAGGGGCCCGTAGGTGTAGGCAAGCGTTTCGCCAAAGAGGAAGAAACTTGCCTGAGGGGCTCCATGGTTTAACATAGCGCTTTCGACTTATCTTTCTTGTCGGACTTAGCCCACCAGTTTTACAAAGAGACCCACCACAAATCAGTAAATGACCATCCAGGGACCACCAATATAGGGGCCATCCAGGGACCGCCGATCCAGGGACCTCAGACGACTTCGGAAATTTGTTAAAAGCTCAGTCATCATTCTCGCATTTAAAATTCTCACGGAGCAACACAAAAACAAGCATTTTTACGTGCTATTCAGGCGTCTCGAAGGGACTCAACGGGTCCTCCAGCTCTCCGGGACCGGAAAAGCGACCGACTCTCCAGCCTTTGAGTTTGGCTACGTCTTTGAGCGCAGGACCACCACAAAGATTGGTTGGCAAAATTTCATTCCAATGAATAGCGGTTTGTGTCCTCTGTTGCTACTCATTGGTATGTAACTGACAAACATCCAGGCTAGATGGAGACTTGACATGTTCTTAGCGTTATTTTCGTGATGGGCCAGGCATCACGATCTTTTGCGGGTTCTAAAAGTGCAAGGGATAGCCACATAAATCATGATGCGGCAACATTGCCTCGTGCGCGCCTTCAAATATCTTATCTGTCTTGCCGGCCAACAAATTACGTAACTATCTGTCCTACCTGACTGCGGCTCACCATTGTTGCATCAGCATAGCGGTCAGAAAAAAATACCTGTTGTAAAGCAGCTTCCAGCATTTATGATACGAAATGGATCGGACTGAGCTCATACGGCCGTTTAACCGAGCTATTCGCGCGCCCCATATATTCCACACGCTCTCCGCCCACTTTCCGTCGTCTGCTGCAAATGTGCATGCACCAATTCCGCTAGATAAGCCTTAATCCATCATAATTGTCAGGCGCACAACTTCACACACTTTCGAGAAATTGTACAAGATGTATCTTCCTAGCATTGCCTCATCATCTAGATTCTTAATCCTAATAGGAGTTGAACTGTGCAAGAAATACATGTAACATTCGTTTCGTTATTGGTTTTTGCAATCACGTGGCCAATTCAGTGCACGGAAGACATACATGGCGCTCTGCAGACTTACCAGCTTTGGGAGATGCTCCTTGCTTTCGTGTATAGTCCTGTATTGTGACCATCTCACGGAGGGCGTAGAGTTTGTTCTCGCATTTGCACATTTTCTCACGAGCAGTAACCCTTCGAACAGGCTACGCACCCGACCCGCCGCGGCGTTCGCCATGTCGAGGACTGAGCGGTGCCCACGAAAATTTTCGCCACATGATCGTTTGAGAAGCTGTCGGTAGATGTCACTAGCTACTATGGGCATGTATAGAAATATTCGATTTTCAGTATGCAGAAAAAATGCGTCAATACCGATTTTATATGAGCATAAATTTATTTTTTTGCAGACTGAAATGATGTTTGAGATGGTTTGACTTGTCTAGCATCAAAATATGAAGTATAAATATTTATTTTTAATAGTTGTTGATGATTTTTCTGAAGTACATATATGGCTAATAAGGTGATATGAAATGGCGCTATTAGCGCTGGCTCTGGAAACGCGTGTTTACGGCTTGTTAATAACGTTTTTCTGAGAAAAAGAAAACGTGTTGCGGGTCGATAGTGAAGTCACGTTGCGTTTGGAGTTCGTATTGTATTTGGTGGTAAATCTTTGTGAAATCTGATTGTGTTCTTGGATAATGTCTTTTCGAACCATGGCGTCAATTTTAATGCAGTGTGAAAGATTTGTGGATTCTGTTGCGGTCTTCATTTTTAAAAATCTAACGAGTAAGTGCCGTAATTCCCTGCGTTCTTTTTTTTCAAACCAGCAGTTGCATGCATTCATCATTCTGTAGCTTTAAATGGAATGAGATATGCTTGGTTCAAGTTAAGTTTGGTTATTAACCAGCATGCACAATACTGCACATTTTGACAAGACCTTGTTGAAACGGAGTTGGGGCAACAATTATTATTTGGGGCGAGTCTTGGAAATTGTTGGGCAGGAAGTCCTCAATTTGGGTTCGTGACATTGCTCTGGAGCAGCTGGTGGAAGCTTGGAATATGTCTTGAGGAGGGTCAGAGACCACAGAAACCACAAAATGTACTGAGATGCACAAAATAAAGCATTGGTAATTGAAATAGGCAGAAGTTGCCCTAAGACTGAATGTTCCGCATTTGTCAGGTTTTCAACTGCTGTCATGCTCTTAGGCATGTCTTTTTTAAACTTACTGCACAAGATTGTTTCTATTGTAGTTGTGTTAAGCATATGGCATGGTAGTGATAGCATGAGAAAATTGAGGTACATCTCTAATGTCATGTGGATCAGCACAAATCTCATAAATTACTCATAAATGATTAAAGCTGATCTTAAGTATGTGCATTCTGTTATGCTTGAACTCCTAAAAACATTATTAGAAAGTTATGTAGAGCAGTGTTAGTGTATGTTACAAAGAATCCTTTAGTTTGTATGATTTTGGACCAAAATAGCCATCTTGAAGATCAGTTGGTGTGGTCCACAGCCATGCTATTATTAAAACCTGAACACTTCTAGCTTCTGAGCTCCGTGTCTGTGAAGAGGAGCATAATATTTTAGGTGATACTTATTTAGGGTTCCCAAGCATCCATGATGCCATGAAAAGTCACTTAAATCCTGAGATTTGGTCATCAATGCAGTGGTGATAAAGGACAAGAAATATATGTGTGTGTGTGTATATATGTATATATATATATATATATATATGTATATATATATATATGTATATATATATGTATATATATGTATATATATATATATATATATATATATATATATATATATATATATATGATTGTTGAGTTGTCATATCCCATATGGGTTAGCTCATTTCATCATATCTGATGCTTGTTTTGATGTCTTTCAATGTGAAGCATTTCATTTGATTGCTGTATGGATTGAGAATGTACCCATGTGTATGAACATATTATGATTATTTGTGAACTGGAATGTCATGATATGTGGTAAGAGCAGCTTCCTGAAGCTTACATTAGTTGCATCTTCAAAAGTTTTTATTGTTAATTTTGGAAACCACATCTGTTAACTGTTTTCTGCAAGAGGAAGTGAAAGTGGCTTGCTTGATAGTAAGGCCTCAGATGCTTTTCATTTGACTTGGTTTGTGATATGCCTAATTTGTAGCATATGTCAATATTCAACTAAAAAGGAAAGATGGAATTAATTATAATTACTGGGGTGCCACAATGATGGCAAAAAAGGAAATGAAAACCTATGAATAGATAAATGGCCGACACCCCTGAGACTTAATATTGTTCACCTCAATCACCATTTTGCAAAGCAGCCTTCATGAACTAACTTTGTGATTGAAGACTGAAACAGTTGTATTGTGCAGAAATAAACTAAAAAATGGACTCCCCACACCAACATAACTACTAACTTACTGGTGAGCAAATGATTTAGACTGGTGCACTAATCTGTGGACACCAGAAGATGCCGTGACTTGTTTAGATAATGAAGGCCATTTAAGAATGCTTTGGTATTTTACCAGCATGGCTAAAAGCATCAAACTGATGATTTCTTATGTCTTGTGAAATTGCATTTGTAACATTGCATCCAGCAACTACCAGTCAGCTTCACATGGACTTCACATGGAATTCACATGTTTATTGGTCATGGGAAACTGTTTTGTTATTTGCATAAAGTGTTTTTTATTTATTTGTAGAATGGTTTACAGAACATACCTTTTTATTCATTTGTATGATATTCAAGTTTGAAACAATCTTGCAGGTTATAGATATAGTGCTGATCTACTTAGCATTATGCTTGATTGGCAAAGAATTGCCCCATGTTATGAATAATTTTTGGCTATGTAAAACATGGTAAGGATATGTGGTATTTTCTACTTCAATATTGTGATATTGTTTCTTTGCTGCTTGCCATCCTTGCCCTGTTCTGTAATACAGTCCTGAACCATCCATTTGGCAAAGGTAAGAGAATGCAGGGCTTGCTTATTTCTCCCCAAAAAGTTGTTTGTCTGTCCTGACCAAATAATTGGCAGTTAGCTGGAAGGCATCTGTGAAGGGTCAGTTGGTTATTGGGCTAGAGCATGCTGCTTCTTTGCATGGCTTGAGTGTGGTCTTCTGTTATCCCAGCTGGCAAAAAGGCTGGACACATAGTTTCCCATTGAATGGGGGTGCGACAATAAATATTGTGGCGTCCAGGTATATACAAGAAGCTCTCCTAGTGTGTACTCTATACTTGTACCTACAATGGGTAAGCATGCCACACAAGCATACAAAGTGTTCAGAAAATACATTTGAAGGTGTATTCATAGCCCACATTTATGAAAGTTATGCATAACACATATGACACTGATTCAACACGCAATGCTGCGTCCGAAGTGCCGTGATTGCAGTTCTGCACAATAACTGATCGCGTCGTGCCCTCAGACGGCTTCGGGCCGCCGGCGGCGCTCGCCGTGGCCGGTGGCGCTGCGTGGCGGCCGCCGGTGCTGCCACCTGCCGAGGCCGACGACGGCCTGCTGTGGGCGGTGCCAAAGCACCGCCGCACTGTGGAGCGTCGCACCACGCGCCGCTTTGGCGCCGAGAACTGGCCCAACGGACGCAAGTTGATACAGCCCAAGCGCGGCCTGTTACTGTGTTTCAAGTGCGGTGGCCACCACCTCCCCGGCATGCTGTGCAGTGAGTGGCTCCCTGCCTCCTTTGGACCCCTGAAAGCGCTTCACTTTCGGTTGTTGGCTACATAGCCAGGACTGATATGCCTGATTTATTTGGATACACCAGAGGTGCTGTGTACAGCATAGTTTCATCGCACTTTGGCTTCGATTGGCAGAAACATTCACAAGCGCTTCTGCCGCGTGCTTGCCGACCCAGCCCTCGGGCCTAGAGCCGCGCTCCGCCTGCTGGCCCCGCTAACGCCGCCGTCCGCGCCGCCAGTGACCTGCTACAGTCGCGTGATGGAGGAGACGCGCGAGATGCAACGCGCCGTGGCCGCCGACCAGGGCCTGCAGCCGCCCGACCGCGAGGTGGCGGTGGTGTACCGGGGCGAGCGCGAGACAGTCGACGAGCAGCGGGCGCAGGTGAGACACCGGCACGTCAGCAAGGCTGGCACCGGAACATCAGTCACAGGCAACGCCATGTGACGGCTGCGTTGTGGCGGCTCATCATGCTCTGCATACAGTCTGTGGTGCTCTGTTTTCGGAATAGCGCTGATAAATGACATGCTAATGTTGTGGCACACATGGCTTAGACGTATGAAGTGAGCACTGTAAAGACCAGAGCACTTGGCTTTGCTTTCTGCGTACCTTTTGACCCATCCGCAAGGGCCCCTAGCCAGGGAGTAATGTGCAGTGTTCTATATGATACCTAGTGCGTCGCACGCCATCTGTGGCATGTGATGGCTTCAGGATCCATGAGTTCTCAAGACGGCCGCCGTCTTTGTGCCGACGTTGGTTTACACATGAGGCCATTTTGTGCCACAGATCAACGCGGATTTAATTTGACTTGCGCATGTTTTCACTACTAGATAGTTCAAAGTTTAGTGTATTTGCAAAAGCAGTGAGTTTGACTGGCTTTGGTGAGGAGTGTAGGAAAATAGCCCCCCGTTGTCCAGCGCGGTCTGCGCCTGTCGCTGATGTGGTACTCTCTGTGTGCAGACGGTTGCGGCTGGTGGAGCTACCCAAGGAACGGCCGCAGTGGTTCAGTAAGAACCTCTCGCAGAAGGTGACGCCGCCGCCGGTCGAGACGGCGGCCGTCAAGCCCTCGGACCTGGGCTGAGAGAGCGGGCGCTGCCGCGACTCTGGCCGACCAGCGGCCGTCTGATCCCGGCCTGATCCGCGCAGGCGGCGGTGCGGGGGTCGCATCCACGGGCCGGAGCGAGAGATAAGGGCGTGGTGGCACCCGCTTGGCTGCCTCAGCCCGGCCCGCCGCGTGCCGTCTGGTGCTCGTAGTTGGTGTGTGACCGTGTCCACTGGCCCGGGATCAGACGAGGCGAGGGGCGAGAGGTTCGCTGTGTATGCAGGACGACGCTAAGAAGGCGTTCGGAATTGGTGATGTGAGTTAGGAGAGCAGTGATTGGCTAGTGTGAGTTAGCTTTGCTGAATGGTCGTGCTGTGTTAATAAAGGCTTACCTTTGTAACGTCGTGGTTTTCCCTGATTGTAACATGTCGACTGGTTCGCTCAAAATCTTTAGAATGGAAGCGATGTCACAAGAATAAGTAAACCGTTTCATGAGGACTTCAGCGAAATGAATCCTTATGGGATTAGGCCTACCGAACATTGCTTTAGATCCAGATACACGAAAGCCTGCAACATTTGTTTCTCACAGGTACAGCTTTTTCATCGCGGGGAGTTCGCCCTTTATAGCGTAATGATTCCATGAGTGTTAGCCATATTATTGGCAGAACGGTTGCACGCTTTCAACAAAAATGAAACCCACTCGGTAACAGCATTGCCCTTTTCGTGACCTTCCTTCGTGACGCTACGAAGTAAAACACTACTCGCGATTACTTGGAGCTGCAGTGCCACCTGGCGATAGTGTAGAGGGATGACGAAAGGTGTTTTCAATTATGCTGGTGTTGTGACGCATGATGTTACGGCCAAGGGTATAGCACCCAAGTGTCAGTCAGCTTTGTCGTCCGCGATTTGTCGGGTTCGAAAACCTTTATGAATGTTCGTTGTTCTAGGACATGTAAAATTAGTTGGACAGCCTAGCAGGTGCAGTCACTGCGCCCGGCGAACCACGTGTTACTCGACTCAGTGCCACAAACGCCGCATTTTTCATTGGCACATGCAGAACCAGTTTTGCAAAATCAAGCCTTCGTGTGCAGTAATTGAGGAACATTGGCGGGTCGTGATCAACATGCGATTGTTTTGTAACGTGCCCGCAGCCCGCCATCACGAGAAACGGGGGGTGGAACTGACCAAAAGACAGCGGCTTACGCCTTCTCTTATCTCGTGCGTTCACCCAGCGATGGTATTTGCTCACTTAAAGAAAGCGATTCGCATATCAAAGATGTATTCTTGCGGAAATGAACACATCCGACTGTCTTGTCTTGGTGCCGCACCGTCCGCTGTCCCTGTTGTTGAGAGCGTAAGTAGCAAAAAGAAGGCAGCACGTTCTGATCTGAGACAATTTGTTGTAGCCACTCTTTGAAAAGCGAAGCACGTCGTGAAATCGGTAGCCCGTGAGATGTAATTTGACGGCGTTCTCAGGCCTTTCCAACTTATCCAGTACCCTTGCTCTCGTTGTGACGCACGCGTCTGGTTTTTATGGGTACTTGAAGTGAATTCCACGGCCTGGTCCGGATGACAGCAAACATCCTGCTTACTGGAAGTGTCACCAATGACTAGATTTGCAAATGGGTACGTACTAAACAGATAACCCCGCCATGCCCACGCCATTCATTGTTAGCACAGCCATAAAAAGCAGCCTTGGTAGATCTGCACGCATACTTGTCTCAAGCGGAGCCTCACGAAGGCGGGCAAATCGCGAACACAACAAAGAGATCTTAATAGAAATGCAGAGATCAGCACTTGGCGGCTTAGTACTCCTCCCCTTCGCCCCTCGGCTTCGGCCGAGTCCACTCCGACCCTCCTCGTAGTCCTTCTCCAGAGCGGCCAGATCCTCGCGCGCCTCGGAGAACTCGCCCTCCTCCATGCCCCTCGCCGACGGTACCAGTGCACGAAGGCGCGCTTGGCGTACATCAGGTCGAACTTGTGGTCGAGGCGGGCCCAGGCCTCGGCGATGGCGGTGGTGTTGGAGAGCATGCAGACGGCGCGCTGCACCTTGGCCAGGTCGCCGCCGGGCACCACCGTCGGCGGCTGGTAGTTAATGCCCTACCTTGAAGCCGGTCGGGCACCAGTCGACGAACTGGATGGTGGCGCTTGGTCTTGATGGCAGCGATGGCGGCGTTGACGTCCTTGGGCACGACGTCGCCGCGGTACAGCATGCAGCAAGCCATGTATTTTGCCGTGGCGTGGGTCGCACTTGACCATCTGGTGGCCGGCTCGAAGCAGGCCGTTGGTGATCTCGCTCACAGACAGCTGCTCGTGTAGGCCTTCTCGCCGAGATGACCGGCGCGTAGGTGGCCAGCGGGAAGTGGATGCGCGGGTACGGCACCAGGTTGGTCTGGAACTCGGTCAGGTCAACGTTGAGGGCGCCGTCGAAGCGGAGCGAGGCGGGATGGAGGAGACGATCTGGCCGATCAGCCGGTTCAGGTTCGTGTACGACGGACGCTCGATGTCCAGGTTACGGCGGGCAGATGTCGTAGATGGCCTCGTTGTCGACCATGAAGGCGCAGTCCGAGTGCTCCCAGCGTTGGTGTGAGTGGTCAGGATCGAGTTGTAGGGCTCGACCACGGGCCGTGGCGATCTGTGGCGCCGGGTAGATGGCGAACTCGAGCTTCGACTTCTTGCCGTAGTCGGACGCTGAGCCGCTCCATCAGCAGCGAGGTGAAGCCAGAGCCGGTGCCGCCGCCGAACGAGTGGACGATCAGGAAGCCCTGCAGACCTGAGTGAAGGAAATGACGATCGATTCAACATCTGCTTGATTCTTAGGGTCCACTCGTTTCATCGGTAACGACACAAGCATGTTAACCCAGCTCTTGCGTAAGTCCAAAGCTTTCGTTTAAGTCCGATTAGCATGAACGGCCTACAGCAATGCAAAAATTTGTGTCGTCCTGACAGCAGCACATTGCAGACGAACCTACAGTTTCAGATCACTCCTCCCTCTCACATAAGCCAATTTCATCTCGAGGTGGCCAGTGCAGGCGATTCTTCGGTAGCTCCCTGACATCGGTTTTTTGCGGTCGAACACTCACCCGTGCACTGGTCCGCCAGCTTTCTGATCCGATCCAGAACGATATCCACGATCTCCTTGCCGATGGTTGTAGTGCCTCGTGCGTAGTTGTTGGCCGCGTCCTCCTTGCCCGTAATCAGCTGTTCAGGGGTGAAATAGCTGCCTGTAGGTGCCCTGTGCGGATCTCGTCTGCGGAACCGTCATCCGTTTACTCTTCGGCTGGATGGTAGAACGCACACAGACCATGGACTTCGGCTCGGGTCGCATGCGCCATTATTTCTAGTACTCAAACAAACACGCATCGACCGTAGCGTTGGAGTACACAATAACCAGTAACCTGTCCCAAAGGACCACAGCTCAATACTTGCCGATAGTGAGGATATAGGTCGCAATTTTGCTCGCACAATCGCACATACCCTTTGGCACGGTTCCTGGACAAAGCAAACTAATCGCCAGTGGTGACAAAGTACGCGTTCACGGATTTCGAGGCCACAATAACCCCTATCTCATATAAAGCGAAGCACACACCACTCCCAGAGGGCTCTGGGCTGGCCGTCTCCCGAGGGACAACAGAGCACTGGTCGATAACTGTCAGAACAGTCGATAAACTTGTCGATAACTCAGAATTTCGCAGCCCTCTCCCAAGGAACAGCGTAGCACTTACCTATCACGGAAGGCTCTAAGTCGACAAACACGGCGCGCGGCACATGCTTGCCAGCCCCGGTCTCGGCGAAGAAGGTGTTGAAGCTGTCGTCACCTCCGCCGATGGTTTTGTCGGAGGGCATCTGGCCGTCCGGCTGGATGCCGTGCTCGAGGCAGTAGAGCTCCCAACAGGCGTTGCCCATCTGGCAGCCCGCCTGGCCCACGTGGACGGAGATGCATTCGCGCTGCCGGACAGAGAGCACGTCGTTAAGAGGTGCAAGCATCCATTGGCATTGTGGTTCAGTTGAATGGCTGAGAACATGGGCTGTTCAGCCCTAGCACACTGGTGAGGGACAGCCAGCACTGTTCAGCAGAAACTGTGCTATGAATCTAATGCATGTTACGCAGTCGTGTCAGCCCAAACTTCACGCCCATCTGCCGTACCTCGAGAGCGAGGGACGCTCAGCTAGCGCCTGTCAGCTGACCTTTGAGCGTTGACGGAGCTAAGCAAATAACACATTCAGCGGATGAGCTCAGTCACCCTCGTAATGACAGTCTGTATTCTCGCACAACCATTCTTCCAGAACGCGGCAATTTCAAAAGCAATTTTGCCGGAAAACAATCTGCAAATGGACTCCATGCCAGTCTCCATAGCTTGTTGATCCGAGCTTGTATTCAGGTTGCCGGGTGCATGGCTGCAAGGCATTGCATGCAGTTCGGAGCGAAACCCGGTAGGTGCCTACTGGCTACTGGCGTAGGCTTTATGCCACGAGCTCCAGGGCGCTGCAAGCACTCGTGATTACCGGATGTCAGGCATACAGTCATGGGCCACGTGACCACCGCCCCACTGGGAGTGCATTGGCATCTCGGTTTCCGACCAGTTGGTTGGTTTAGTCCAATGCATTCTCATCTTCTTGCCACGTCCAGCCGCCATCACCTCGGAGTAGCATTCACGCAACTACTCAACCCCGCATCCCCATCGCCTGCTCCCCGTACCGACCCCTCCCGCTCCGTTGGCCGCCCGCCTCGGCGCCCTGGGCCCGCCCGTCGCGCCGCGCGCAGCCATGGCCGGGACCGGCGCCGCGGCCGTCCAGGGCTGCGGGGCGTCGCCGTGACCAGCTGCCGGCCGTATTGATCTGACGGCGTGACTCAGGTCCGGTCGATGCCGGCTGTCGCTGACGCGGCTGGGACGGGCGGCGCCGGCCATGGACCGCTGTCTGGCGCTACGCCGGCCGGCCGGCCAACAACGGCGAGTCGGAGGGTCGGGGCCTCTGGCGGGGCCGACGGTCGGAAGGCTGTGACAGGGGCTGTCTGGCGGGGACCTGAAGCAGCACCTCAGCCCACTCGCGGGGCCTCTGGCGGGGCCGAGGGTCAGGAGGCTGTGACAGGGGCGGTCTGGCGGGGATCTGAAGCGGCACCTCTGGCCACTCGCGGGGCCTCTGGCGGGCCTGACGGTCAGGAGACTGTGACAGGGGCGGTCTGGCAAGGGATGAAGCGGCATCTCCGGACACTCGGGGTGGGACGGGGGGGGGGGGGTCTCTGGCGGGGCTGACAGCGAATACTGTGACAGGGGCCACCGGGCGGGTGATCTGAGCCGACACCTTTGGCCAGACAGCCATGGCCAGAGAGCCATGCTGATACAGCGATCGACAGACTCGGATAGTTACAGCCGTCTACGAGTATCTGACCGCGGACACAGTTCATGCATGCATGACAGATATCCCGACAAGGATCATCGAGCAACGTCCGTTTCAGCGCCCTTGCGGTATGGACCGCTTATCGAAGGACTCAAGGACAGTGACCGCTCATCGGCGATTTTCGGAACACGGCTCTCTGAACCAGCCATTACCGGCCAGTCACAGCATTTTTGTGACAGGCCGTGGACGGCGATCGCTTTCTCGCCAGCCCCGCTCACGGGCCGTGGTTCAGGTGAGACTAGTGGATCAGGCTGACAGCGACCGCTGTATGGGGCACCCCCAAGCAGTCGCTGGTCCTTGGGTCACAGCGTGCTGCCAGCCTGCGTCTCGCTTCGTCAGTGCGCAAGCAGGAGCGCGGCGACATGGCTCGTTTATGGGATACAGACGCCTTCAGCACGCCACTGGTATGGATTACCATGCCAGCTTGTACCATCGGTAAAACGCGCTTTCTGTTCCCTTTGTCTTCACAGCATTTCAGAGTAAAAAAAAC